ATCTCCTTTTCCCTTACTAATTAGCACCAGCCGTTGCTTTTTCCAGGGCTCAGGGAATATTCCGGCTTCAAGGCAGGCGTTGTACATGTTCAGTAGTACTGCCGKKCGCTCTGCAGCRATTATTTTGAGAATTTCTGATGGGATACCGTCCGGTCCGGGTGATTTGTTGCCCTTGAGCTTGACGGTGGGTTGCCCTTGAGCTTGACGGTGGCAATATTGAACGCGCTATTCATGACATACTACTTCATTTAGTGGAAAAGGTACTCGAAAATTGGGTTTATCGAATTCGTTCCAGCAAAAGGAGGAGCCATGTGAATGATATTATGTTAAGGCCATAATTGTATCGATTGAACTTCACTTTATTTAAAATACATTTAAATTTGCTTAACAATTAGTGTTTGTTTTTTTATTAAAGAAATCATATTTTTTCTATATAAACGCAGTAATGTTCCACCACAACTACTTTGTAGTAGTTGACATTTTTTGACTCTAATCAACCCTACTAACACACAGTTGAAACCCGTAAAAGTTGAAATTTGACAATATTTCTACCGAAATTTTTGGACTGGTTTGAAATAAGATCGATAATACCGAATTTCAAACCATCAAACAAATTTCGGAAAACCGTAATAGCGGTAATAGTACAATAAAAAAAGTTAATTACTCATAGTAAACGCATAGCAATGTACACAATACATCAACTTCTAAGTGTTACTGTTAAAAAATAAAATAATCATACTAATGTTATTGTTCTATTCTATCTTCTATTGAAAAAATTAAGTAATTTTGTAAATTACTTTTACTTAAATCACCAAAAACATATAAAATATGTAAATTGTAAGATTTGCCAAAATGCCGCCCTAAGCAATTTCTTGCGCCCTAGGCAACTGCTTGAAGAAATTCACCGACTCAAAAACCAAAATCGAAAATCTTTCATTCTTCTTTAAAAATAAGCGATAGCAACTAAACTTGTTTGAAATATCGAATTTTTGTTTGTAAACTAACTCGGTTCAAGTACACAATAGTGGTTTACAAAAAAATCAAAACTTTTTTCGGAAACTGTAAAAAACAAATTTTTGAGCAAACTTTGAAAAATCTCTCAACACTTAGCATAACGACAATTGAATTGTTTGTCCTCCTTCTCAGAGCAAATTTTCGTTTTTGACAACGGCAATATGGATTTGGTTCTCGATAGCAATACGAGAAACTGTTGTACAAACATGAGTGATCGCTGTATGACTTTTATAGCGGGATTCTGTAACCAGTCTCTAGTCTCTATTTGAAACATTTTGTGGTAAAATCTCAATTTGTGACTAGTTACTATTCACTATACAGTCTCTAGCTTTAGTCTCAAAATATTGCCTCAAATTTGAGACCTGGTAGTTAGCTAGTCACAAACCCAAAAAGAACTTTTGTCTGCCATTTTGAATATACTGAATAGAGATCACCATAGATATTAATCGATTTTCGCTTTTTTATATTTTGTAAGCAACTCAAACACGAAAATGTTAAAAATAAATTAATTCCGTTAATATTATGAAACAAAGTCAACATATATTTTTATTTTTATTGATAATTATGTTTTTTGACTATGTTATAGAAAATTTAATATTTGTTATCGACATATTTATTTTCATTCAAGTATAAAAACAACTCTGAATAATGAAATGTAATAGAGTTTGTGACTATTACTTACAGAACAGCAAAATCGTCTCAAGTCTCAAAAATTGTCTCTGTCAAATTTAGAGACTTGATGTGTGGAATACAATGCTCGCGACAGACTGCAAACGACAGCTGTCAAATATTAAAATACACACGTTCTTATCGACGGACCTATTTTGACAGCTGCACGACTACACGACTGCAGGCCGACAGTTGTCGTTCTCGCTAACTTCAATTTTATCCTATATTTGCCAACGACAGTAGGACGACAGTAGAGTTGTCAGTAGAATGGAAGATAGAGAGATGAGGTAGAATGGTGATGCCACTAATATACTCTAACAAACTTGACGTTATTTTACAAATAAGAGCATAAAATAGCTCTGTCACATCATTTGTAATAACAATTGATAATTTAAAGCAAACATATTTACCTATTTACTTATTTTTTGCATAAAAAATTTCACTTTGAACAAAATATTAAAATTTCATTGAAAAGCAAGGTATTAGTATGGCCACAACGAAATTGTGTGCATACAAAATGTACAACTGAGTTGTTTTGTGTACATGCCGGCAAACAAACGTTCATGTAGTAGGATTCAGTTCACTGTCGTGCTGCTGCAGTCTGTCGCGAGCATTGTGTTCCCCATATGATACAGTATCACAGTACAGAATCGCACGGTTAGTCTGACTCGCTTATAGTAATGACTGAGTACACAGATCTAAGCCTACAAAAAGCAAGGATCCGCGGGCAAACACACAGCTTTAATAGACGAAGATTCAAATGCTGAAGTCAATTTTCATTCAGTACCACCTTTAGTTATTTATAATTCATTCCTCTTACTTTCACTCAGTTTATGCGATAAATTAGGAACTTTGGCCGGTCGTTTCAAGTAAAAACGCGAAAATATTTGCTTACTATTTGTTACTAATTCATTCCAATAAGCCAAAAGCTTATACTTTATTGATATTGAGACTCAATGCTGTTTTTAACGCATCTGTTTTGCATATATATGTATGTATATACCATATGTATGTATGTTTGTCTGTTGAAACACAATTCATATTTTAATAAAGGCATGCATAAGAAAATAGATTAATTGTCTGTGTTTTTAGTATCATTAAAATATTATACATTCTGAATCCACATATGTACAAACATATGTATGCACTAATGTATATGTACATACATACGTACAGAGGCAAGGTGAGTTCAAAGCTGGTTTAGCAACACGCGATGGAATGTGTAAATATTTGAATGCTTGCAAAGGTTGCATACATACATATTTGTATAGATACGTAGATAAGTATATATGTACATACATATATGCGCCGTTCATTGAAATAGTCAACTAACTCCTTGCATTTAAGTTTTGAGCAACTCCGGACTTACGTCACTTTTATTGTGAATAACGATACACATTGGTTCCCTGATTAAACTAATAGCCATTCTATGAAGCTGCAGTGATACGGATTGCTTCACTCCTATATTGTAAGATATAATAAGTTGTGAGCGCATTATGAAAAGAGAAACACATTTTTTATATTATGGAGTTACACCACTTTTGCAATGACCGACACATTGTTTGTTTGCGTCAACGTGTTTGAGAGGTCTCTCAGTTGCTCATTTAATTTTGACAACAATTGCGAGTGGTAGTAAACTTTTCTCAGCACAGCAGTTTTTTTTATTGAAAATAAGACATTAGGATGTACTTTTTTGGGCAATGAAAATTTTATTCAGTTATAGTACATCGGATGTAAAGATTGAAATAAGTAAATCAGAAAAATATATTCGCTTCTTTTTGATAAATGTTATATATATAAAGAGCTGGGTTTATTTAGCCTTATCCGTCTACCTGTATATAAGCGAAATAATAACTCAGTTTTTTAGATATCGTTCTGAAATTTTAGTCACGTCTTTTCCTCTTCAAAAAGGTGCTCAATTGTCGGAACTATCCTTATCGGAAAACTATAAATTTTATCATATTTGGCTTGGTTATAATCTAAAACAATGACAAAATCTCCGAAAAAATTGTTCAAGGGCATTCGGTGCAACCGAAGTAAGACTATTTCCTTGTTTTACAATTTTTTCAAACCAATGCTTATTTTACAATTTTATATAACTAATTATTCCTCTTCATGCATTGCTAAAAATGCATCAAACAATTTTCGTTAAATAAACAATATGACATACCCTAATGCTTCTCTAAATACCTTGCCGTAATTAATTACCTTTGTTACTTCAGTGGTAGTAGTTATGTTCGCCACATCAGTATTGTCTTTTTCAATTTCACGAACAATGTCATTTGGCACGAAAGCTTTTGAGTCCACAAACGATTTCTCTTCAACGATTTTCCACTCTCCGGTCTTAGTGTCATATACTTTTGTTGTGTACGTTGTGGTAGTCGTATTGATGACATCATCAACTATTTCGGGGTAATGAGTATCATGAGCGCTATCCACAGTCTTCTCTTCGACGATTTTCCACTTGTTCGCACGCTGATCGAATATTTTTTTCTTATACGTAATTTTGTAAGTACCGTCGGATTCGCGACTAACATAACGCTCGATTGTTGGCTGCTTTTTGTTTGTAGCGCCAGTGCCGGTCTTTTCATTCATCTCTGTCCATTTTTTAGTTTTCACATCATACACCTCCTTCCTTGACGTACTCTTGCTTTTCTTCAGTGAGCTTTCTTCAATTGTTTGTTCAGAGATATTTTTCTCTATTATAGAGGACTTTTTCGTCGATTTGTTTGTTACATTGGAGGCCAATTGCCTACTACTACCACTTACAACTACGTCACTCTTCAAGTTTTCAGTCAGTGATGTACTATCACCTTGACTTGTAATTTCGGAGTGTGCGGTGCAGGTAATGGAATGGCTGTCGTCATCGATTGCTCTTTGTGTACTTTTCGTAAATGCCGTAGACGTTTGTTGTGTTTTTGCAGGCGATGTGATTAGCGGCGCTATTACTGGTGTTGCAGAACCATTAATGGCTTTGCCATCAATCGTCGATAACGACGTATAGCTGTTTACTTCGGCGCTACTGTTGTTCACATCATTCGTTAAAAACTTGTTTGCCGATGATGTCATTTCAACATTTGTAGATGTGACTTTGCCCGATTTTGCTGTATTCGATGTGGAAGAAATGGACTTTGAATTTTCGGTGGACATATCGGTGATCGTAATTCCACCATCAATGACCTTACTGCTACTGCTTGCGGACTCGATGTGTGCGAAATTGGAGCTGCTCGTGCTTGTCATGATACCGGTTTGAGATTTCGAAGAGGTCAAGTAAGCTTCATTGTAATTGTAGCCAATACTGGAGCTACCGCTACCAACTATCTCAATGACGTCGATCGGCACCGAAAAAACTGGTTCCTTTTTGTCGCTCTCAAGCAGATCGATGGATGATATTATCTTAGCATTGGAAAAATCATTGGAGATCTCTTCATAGTATTCTGATTTCTGTTGAAATGAGGATGATGAGGATGACGCCTTCGTCGATTTCAATGTGTCACTCGTTATGGAAGCGATTGGCGCTGATTGGCCGCCACCGATGCTGCCCACGTCACTAACGATCTCGTACAGCTGTTCTTGCTGCTGCTGTTGCTGCTGTTCAATTTGTTGTCGGCGCTGCTTTTGCTCTGACCTCGACTCCATGTGACTGATGTTGCTACTGCTGCTCTTGAACAAATTCGACTGCAACTGCGACTGCGTGCCGGAGTGTGTGGTTGCCAGCATCGATTTGTTGCTCGCCGCTGACTCGGATTTTTGCAGTGTCTGTGAAGTTTTCGTCCACGTAGGCGACGTCGTCGGAGTTACTTCCACCGCCGATGAGCTTGTTGATGCTGACTCGGTGCCAGCGGTATGCACCACAGTTTTCGAGGAACTAGAGGTGTTGCTGCTTGTGCTTGCAGCAATTTTGCTGTTGCTGAAACCAATTTGTTGCTGCTTTTTCTTGCTGCCTTTCGAGACCATTTTGACAAGTATGAATTCGCAGAAAGCTCAAAATTCGGTTTGTTTTTAAATTGAAAATATTTGAATATACGTTATGTCTTTTATCGATCACAGTCTATCTTTTCCGACTAATTGGATACGCGTGCGAATTTCAGTTAAAAACAATACAAAAGGCAATCGAAAAAACACGATGAACTGGGCAACGTTGTTAGAAGCAATATACTCGCATAGTATGGTTAGTATGAATTAGCCAATTTAAAAGCACTAGCAAACACTACTTATTTCAAGAAAAATCTCACACAACACTCAAGCGCAGAATCCGAAAGTACCACTACAAAAATATTCAACGTTTTTTAGCTTTTGATTTTTTTCCTCTCTTTTTTCTGTGGCTATTTTTTGATTTGTAATACTCTATTGTTGTTGGATGTGTGTCAGTCGTTTCGTTTATCGTTTAAAAATCACAAGCAGTTTTCCGAAGATCGCGTGCAACGCGTACCAATGCCCAAAGCGAACTGATCGTTCAGTTAGTGGCTGGAACAGCTTTTGGCCGTGTACCAGCACAAATCGCTACGTTTAGAAAGCAGAGTGGGCTTCAAAACCCCCTGCTCACCTTCCCCAACTGCTACTGACACACCAATACACTGCACCAAGTCTGAAAGCACGATCGTTATGTCGCTCCGTAAACGCATATACATATGTATGTATGTACACATTTATATACTTATTTGCATGTACGTATGAAAGTATGTAGGTAAGCACCGACAAGTGTAGGCAGCGCACAACTTGGATTTTATACCGCATATGCATACATTCATACACACTATAAGTATGTGTGCGTGGAGGCAGCTTTATGTATTCGAATGCGAAACTTTTGTTTTTCTTTTGATGTCAGTCTGAGTTTCAGAGCTTTACCTACGCAGCTCAGTTCAACCGCGTTTTATATTGAATCTGCAGCTTTTTGCTTGGCGTTCTCGAATATGGTAAAGCTTTGACTTTTATCAAGCAGTATTTTGCATCACCTACACGGTTTATTATTATTATTATTTTTTAATTAAAGCCAAACCTTTTCTCTAACTGAAATAGCGGCACATTTAATAAAAAATTGTTTGCAGACATCAACATTGAATATTGAAATTAGGTGGAGCTGTGCAAAATACATGCAAACATAACATTATGTATTACATACATATGTATGTATGTGTTGTAGCATTTAGTTTTTGATTTATGCAATTTTTTGAAAATTTGTTAGAAATCGCGTACGTTATATGCATTTCAGACTTTCTAATCATTCCTTAAAAAATACTTCCTGATAAAACTGATTTTGTCAGATGTAGGAGATATTGATTAGTGAGTTAATAGCTCAAGAAGATTGTCTATTTTATACTTTCTTCTTCTTCTTAATTGGCGTAGACACCGCTTACACGATTATAGCCGAGTTAACAACAGCGCGCCAGTCGTTTCTTCTTTTCCCTTCGTGGCGCCAATTGAATATTCCAAGCGCAGCCAGGTCCTTCTCCACTTGGTCCTTCCAACGGCGTGGAGGTCTTCCTCTTCCGCTGCTTCCCCCGGCGGGTACTGCGTCGAATACTTTCGGAGCTGGAGGGTTTTCGTCCATTCGGACAACWTGACCTAGCCAACGTAGCCGCTGTCTTCTAATTCGCTGAACTATGTCAATGTCGTCGTATATCTCGTACAGCTCATCGTTCCATTGGATGCGATATTCGCCGTGACCAACGCGCAAAGGACCATAAATCTTTCGCAGAACTTTTCTCTCGAAAACTCGCAACGTCGAATCATCCGTTGTTGACATTGTCCAAGCCTCTGTAGCATATAGCCGGACGGGAATTATGAGAGACTTATAGAGTTTGGTTTTTGTTTGTCGAGAGAGGACTTTGCTTCTCAATTCCCTACTCAGTCCGAAGTAGCACCTGTTGGCAAGAGTTATCCTGCGTTGGATTTCTTAGCTGATTGTTGGTGGTGTTTACGCTGGTTTCAAGATAGATGAAATTATCTACGACTTCAAAGTTATGACTGTCAACAGTGACGTAAGAGCCTAGTCGCGAGTGCGACGACTGTTTGTTTGATGACAGGAGATATTTCGTCTTGCCTGCGTTCACTGCCAGACCCATTTGTTTTCCTTATTCAGTCTGGTGAAAGCATAACTAACGGCGCGGGATATCAATATCATCCGCATACGCCAGCAGCTGTACACTCTTATAGAAGATGGCACCTTCTGTATTTAGTTCTTCAGCTCGAATTATTTTCTCCAGAAGCAGGTTGAAGAAGTCGCACGATAGAGAGTCGCCTTGTCTGAAACCTCGTTTGGCATCGAACGGCTCGGAGAGGTCACTCCCGCTTCTGAAGTAGCTTTTGGTGTTGCTCAACGTCAGTTTACACAGCCGTATTAGTTTTGTGGGGATATCAAATTCAGACATCGTGGCATAAAGGCAGCTCCTTTTCGTACTGTCGAAAGCAGCTTTGAAATCGACGAAGAGGTGGTGAGTATCGATTCTCCTTTCACGGGTATTTCCAAGATTTGGCGCATGTTGAATATCTGGTCGGTTATTGATTTTCCAGGTCTAAAGCCACACTGATAAGATCCAATAAGTTTGTTGACGGTTTATCCCACGGCAGTTGGCGCAGATTGTGGGGTCTCCTTTTTTGTGGATTGGGCATAGCACACTTAAATTCCAATCGTTGGACAAGCTTTCGTCCGACCATATTTTACAAAGAAGCTGATGCATGCTCCTTATCAGTTCTTCGCCGCCGTGTTTGAATAGCTCGGCCGGCAATCCATCGGCCCCCGCCGCTTTGTTGTTCTTCAGGCGGGTAATTGCTATTCGAACTTTTTCCTGGTTGGGCAATGGAACGTCTGCTCCATCGTCATCGATTGGGAAATCGGGTTCGCCTTCTCCCAGCGTTGTGCGTTCACTGCCATTCAGCAGGTTGGAGCATTTTTATTTTAGTATGCTGTGGGTATCAGTTACTAGATCACCTCTGAGGGTTCCACAAGAGTATGTTCCGGTCTTTAAACCTTGGCTAGTCGCCGCCTCTTTTCGTAAAACTCTCGAGCATTACCTTTGTCGACCAGCTTGTCAAGCTCTTCATACTCATGCATTTCAGCATCTCTCTTTTTCTGTCCGCAAATGCGTCTCGCATCGCGTCCTCCTTCTTCAACTCTCAGTATCTATCCCATCCCGCAAATGTTGTTGTCGATCGTAACGTTGCGACGTAGGCAGATTATTTTCCCTCCCCTGCGACACGGCACTCCTCGTCGTACTAGCTGTTCTTTTGCACTTTCCGAAAGCCAGTGGTTTCGGTTGCAGCTGTACGAATCGTTCGGCTGTCTGTTGTGATTGCAGCTTCTCGACGTCGAACCTTCCTTGTGTTTGGTGGCTTGCGTTTTTAGCTGCACAGAGGCGGGTGGAATCTTGGCTGTAACAAGATAGTGGTCCGAGTAGATGTTCGGACCTCGGAGCGCACGCACATCTAAAACACTGGAAACGTGTCTTCCGTTTATCACAACATGATCGATCTGGTTGGTGGTTTTCGATCCGGAGACAGCCAGGTAGCTTGATGTATCTTCTTATGCTGGAATCTAGTACTACAGACAACTATATTTCGGGGCCCGGTGAAGTCGATCAGCCTCAACCCATTTGGGGATGTTTCCTCATGGAGGCTGTATTTACCGACTGTAGTGCCAAAGATATCTTCTTTGCCCACCCTAGCGTTAAAGTCGCCAAGTACGATTTTGACATCGTGGCGGGGGCAGCTCTCATAAGTGCGTTCCAAGCACTCATAAAAAGCATTTCACATCGGCCTTCTCTTCCGTCGGGGCGTGGGCGCAAATAAGCGATATGTTGAAGAACCTCGCTTTGATGCGGATTGTGGCTAGACGCTCATTCACCGGAGTGAATGATAGTACTCGGCGAATCCCACACCAAACTTGCGGTCCTTTATATGGCCACTGTAGTAAATGCCACAAGGACCTACTAGTCTCTGGACTTTGCATCACTTAAATTCCAAGTATATGTAATATTTCCCAACCATCTATTCTGTAATCATGCCAAGCAAACAGCTGTCGAAGATTCCGACCCCACAAAGATAGATGAGAAGACGTATTCCGTGCTAAATCTCTTGGGGCTTTAATTCCTTCAGTATTTCAATTTCTTGTCGCCCATTACAATTATCTCCAGAGTCTTAACAATCTTTGGAAGACTTAAGCTATAAACTCAACTGGTCTTTGAAATATCCATAAACTTGTGGCTCGATCTTTTGCTAGAAGTGGAAAATGTCGGAATTATTAACACATCTTGAAACCGAAATATAAGATTTGAACAGCCATATGTTCCGTATATTTAAAGAAAATTACATATTCGAAAATTAATTAAATTACTTAAACATTTGTGGTCGACTATAGAGTATTCTGGCGTCTATTGGCGTCCAGAAGGGGTATTAGTCAGAGTTAGCAATTATATAAATTGTAATGTGCATATACCACGAAAATGGAGTATGTGTCTGCGATGTCTCGCTCAACAACCTACGAGCGTTTCAAAACCGGCTGAAACACGTATTTATTTTCATTCGTTTGCAAATGACATTATACAATTACAAACATACATATTAATTCATGTATATACACAGTTCGTACTGAAGGCGAGCAAATCTACAAATATCGACTCCGGCATACACGCACCTTATAAACACCTAAGCACGTACATATGCACACTTGTGAGCTCGTATTATACTAAATACTCGACGGCACTTTTTCTTCATTACTTCCAGAGGCAATACGTGGGTGTTCATGACGGCATTTCTCATTTTAACGAGTTTTTGAGGAAATCATTTCGCAATTATATAAAATGACAATGCGATGCAGTTTCAATTCGCATCAAGGATATATCCGACATCCCAAAAATAAATACTCACAAATGTGAGTTTGCCTAAAAAGTTAAAACAGGATTATTGTCAGTGAGAAAGCAACCTTCCTTTTCCGAATATGTTCATACAACATTTAAGATTGTCAGGTCAGGTGAACATATTTCGATGGTTACAAAGCTCACAAATTAAGTTTTTATTTAAATGTATCTTGCGGCCGTTGGGATGCAATAAAAGCTACAGAGATCCCGTAGGACTCATACATGCTTATAATGCTTATATACTATGTTATTTTATATTCGGGCGAATGCCCAAGCAGCCAGTTTCCCTTTGTTTTCCTTGAATGTCTGTAAATTTATTTACAGGTCATATTAAAAAAAAATATATATTATATGTATATGTACATATTATTTATTCCTTTAAAGCTACAATTTTTATTAAAGTAACACGTTGTATACTTAAATATACACCATATGTAATATATATTCACACTATATATTATAGTATGGGGGCGATACAGAGTGTACTGCTACCAGTACGTCTGTTATATAGTACATGTGTATGTGCTTTGTATTCATCAATGTCTGCAGACGTAAGTTTAGCAATTCAAACCGGATT